GGTAGTGACGGGCGGGGTATAAATCCAATCTCTTCTTCTTCTTCAATAGTGGATGTATCGTTGTACGTGCACTGTACCACAACTGTCACGCCATCGTTCTGCTAATGGTTTTCATAATTTTATTGTGTATTTTATATTGATTCTTATATTGTTGTTCTATCTACTGTTCCCTTCGTAAGCCGCCCTGAGCCTGCCTTGGCAGGGAGGGCGAGCTAAAAATCAAATTATTAAATCAAATAAATAATAAGTGAGAGGAGGGCAGGGAGCTGTTCCTGTCGGCAGCAAAGGAGAGGGCTCTCAATCGCGGGTTCAAGTTAAGGGTGGGAAGGGACCCGGCTGGATATGAGGGAAAAAGTTTCTACAGTAAGAGTAGTTCAGCAGTGGAAATCAGCTCCCCGGGTAGGCGGTGAGCTCCCCCCTCCGTGGCAGTCTTGAAGCAGCGGCTGGACAAACACTGGTCAGGGATGCTCTAGGCTGGTCCTGCACTGAGGAGGGGGTCAGACTAGATGGCCTGCAGGCCCCCTTCCAGCTCTGGGATTCTGTGGTTCCATGATTCTATCAAGGTGTAAAGAAACGGGGACCTGGCCTATCACATTGACCAGTGTGGGTTTTCGAGGAGGGATAGGACTTGAGGATCCAGTTCTTTTTGCAAAAGTGTCCTCCAAGAAAACAAAGAACTGAGGAGCAGAAGCCAACTGGAGCACTGTGTAACCGAGTCCCTAATTCTAGAATCTTGCAGGAGGGGAGGGAGAGGGGTGTCCACTGGCGGTTGGGCTTGGAGGTGCGTTGGAGCTGACATCAAAATAATGAAAGCCCCACCAGGAAAACATTCCCGCCCCCCAGCCACAAAATCTTGGCTACGGGCCGGGCTGGAGCTCCCCTGGGATTACAACTGATGTCCAGGCAACAGCGATCAGTTCCCCCGGAGGAAACGGCCGCTTTCGAAGCAGCGTTCCCTCTAAGGTGAGTGAGTGTGAGCCAGCTCGCAGGTCTTTAGCCTCCGGCTCACACATTTTTGTCTTCGCTCAGGAAGGAGGGCTCCAGAGGAGTGTTCCCTCTAAGCTGAGTTAGTGTGAGCTAGCTCACAGGTCTTTAGCCTCCGGCTCACACATTTTTGTCTTCGCTCAGGAAGGAGGGCTCCAGAGGAGTGTTCCCTCTAAGCTGAGTTAGTGTGAGCTAGCTCACAGGTCTTTAGCCTCCGGCTCACACATTTTTGTCTTCGCTCAGGAAGGAGGGCTCCAGAGGAGTGTTCCCTCTAAGCTGAGTTAGTGTGAGCTAGCTCACAGGTCTTTAGCCTCCGGCTCACACATTTTTGTCTTCGCTCAGGAAGGAGGGCTCCAGAGGAGTGTTCCCTCTAAGCTGAGTTAGTGTGAGCTAGCTCACAGGTCTTTAGCCTCCGGCTCACACATTTTTGTCTTCGCTCAGGAAGGAGGGCTCCAGAGGAGTGTTCCCTCTAAGCTGAGTTAGTGTGAGCTAGCTCACAGGTCTTTAGCCTCCGGCTCACACATTTTTGTCTTCGCTCAGGAAGGAGCAAACTAATTTATGCAGTAGCCGCATAGGTTACTCACATCTTCAATGCCAGTAACTCACAAAGTAGTATTTTTGCTCACAAGACTCCGCAGCGTAGAGCGGGCATTGTTTGGAAGGTGGACTCTATGGCATTATATCCCGCCAAAGCCCCTTCCTCCTCAAGCTTCACCCCCAAAATCTCCAAGGATTTCCCAAACCAGCGCTGGCAAACCCCAACCCCCGCCCCAAACGATATCTTCCTTCCCAACACTTGGCTTCTGAGAGTAAACCAGACAAATTGCGCTCTTGTTTTTCTGAAAAGTGGTTTTGTTTTTAATTCTCCAAAATCTCCTTAAAATAAATACAATCCTGGAGCGGAGAGCTCCGTATATACATACAATTGGGAAGGGGGAGTTAAAAAGAGACGGGTGGGGGGGGAGCGTTAAAAGGGACTAGTTAGACTCTGTTGTACAGAGGAAACACCACCCCAATATTAGTGCATCATCAGCCCAGAAACTGAGGAGGGCGGGGGAGAATAGGAGAGTCTAGGGAATTTGGGGGAGGGGGGGTAAACTCCCCCAATCCCAGACACTGCCGTAAACCTCATTCTCCCCCCCACGGGTAGGAGAAGGCAGCCGACGCCCTCCTCGGAGAGCGACAGAAATAAATACACCTTTTAAAAAAAATTTACAAAGCCAGTGTATCGGTCTGGGAAGGTTCCCTTTGCAGCTAGTTTTTAAAAAGAGAGAGAGAGAGAGAGAGCACCGAGTTCGAGAGAGCCCAGCAGCATCTATGCAGTTAAGGCACTGGGGGGTAACGACGAGGGCGGGCGCGCGCGCTGGCCGGCCAACAGCGGGGAGCCTTTGGGTTAAATCCGCTTGACCCTTTTCGTCGGTCACCGGCTGCCTGGGCAGGGCGTGGCTCCGGGCACAGGTGTCACAAGTCGGTCACTTTGTTCTCCACCAGAGCCGCGATCTGTTGCAGGCGATAGGCCAGCTGCATCTTCTGTCCCAGCGGGTCCTCGTCTAGCGCGCTGATAATCTGCAAGAAGCGGCCATTAGCAGGTCACGATGACAGTTTCCCGTCTCTCAACAGGTCCCTTCCTTCCCAGGTGCCTAACGACTGGAGCTGATAAGATTCACCTCGGCCCTCAGTTCCTCCTCAGCTTGGCGTGGTTAGGAGCGCGGACTCTGATCTGGGAGAACCGGGTTTGATTCCCCACTCCTCCACATGCAGCTGCTGGCCGTGTTCCCTCTAAGCTGAGTCAGTGTGAGCCAGCTCACAGTTTTCTAGCCTCCGGCTCACATATTTTTGTCTCAGCTCAGGAAGGAGGGCTCCAGAGCAAACTAATTTAGGCAGTAGCCAAATCGCTCGCTCACAACTTTAATGCCAGTAGCTCACAAAGTAGAATTTGCTCACAAGGCTCCCTCTAACATGTGGAGCCTTGTGAGCAAAAATTCTACTTTGTGAGCTACTACTGGCATTCAAGTTGTGAGTGAGCAATGTGGCTCCTGCATAAATCAGTTTGCTCTGAAGCCCTCCCTTCCTGAGCCAAGACCAAAATCTGTGAGTCGGAGGCTAAAAAACGGTGAGCTGGCTCACACTGACTCAGCTTAGAGGGAACATTAGGGTAAACCATATCTAGCCCTGTAGCCAGAAATTTTCTATTTGGGATGGGGAGGCAAACGGAACCCGATGGTATGTGTGGAGGGGTTAACTTACCGCTGCCACGGTAGCTCCCAAGTCCCGCCCCCCACAGCTCAGGCTCCCATTGGAGGGGAGAGAGAGGGGCGACCGTTAGTGTGGCCTCACTGGCTCTTCCCGCTTCTGCAGCCGGGGCTTCTCAAACTTCCAAGAAGCCGACTGCGGGGCAAGAAGCCCCTCTCCCTCCCCTCCTCCAGGGGATGGGTATATTCATGGGGGGGCATTGCCCTCTTATGCCCCACCTCCGGCAACTGAATGCCGTCATATTGTTAATAACTTTCTAACAATGCGTGTAATGGGTTCTCTGAATTCCCAGCTCATTTTTTTTAAAAGCTGCCAGCCCCTTTGGACGGGCAGATACGCCTTCCCCCCTTTTGTGTTACGTGCTGTCCAGTCGCTTCTGATTTACTGCGACTCTATGAATTAATGACCTCTAAAATGTCCTATCGTTAAAGTCCTCGCTCAGGTCTTGCAAACCTGAGAGCCTGTTTGGTGTCGTGGTTAAGAGCGGCAGACTCTAATCTGGGAGAACCGGGTTTGATTCCCCACTCCTCCACTTGCACCTAGCTGGATGACCTTGGGCAAGCCAGAGTTCTGGCACAGCTGTTACCTCCCAGGGTGTCTGTTGTGGGGAGGGGAAGGGAAAGGAGTTTGTAAGCCGCTCTGAGACACCTTTGAGTAGTGAAGGGCGGGGTATAAATCCAATCTCCTCCTCCTCCTTCCTTGACTGACTCAATCCATCTCGTGCGGGTCTTCCTCTTTTCTTTCTGTCTTCAGCTTTTCTTACCATTATTGGCTTTTCCGGTGAGTCTCATTTTCTCCTACAATAACCTCATTTTAGCCTCTAGGGAAAGTTCAGGCTTGATTTGAGGTAAAGCCCACTCATTTTGACTTTTTGTCGGTCCACGGTCTGACTCAATCCATCTCGTGCTGGTCTTCCTCTTTTCTTTCCACCTTCAGCTTTTCTTACCATTATTGGCTTTTCCGGTGAGTCTCATTTTCTCCTACAATAACCTCATTTTAGCCTCTAGGGAAAGTTCAGGCTTGATTTGAGGTAAAGCCCACTCATTTTGACTTTTTGTCGGTCCACGGTGTCCATAAAACTCTCTTCCAACACCACCTTTCAAATATCCGATTTAGAGAAGTGTCATTCTTGAAAGCTCCTACCCCAAAAATCTTGCTTGTCTGAACGGTGCTACTGAACTCCAGCCGAGCGGTTCTACATTGCTAATGAATTGCTGGTCTATCTGTCAGCTCTCTTCATTATCGAACTTTCGCAGCCTTACGTAGTAATGGGGGATACCATGCCCCTCCACAAGGGAGGAGGACAGAGACTTATTTTTTAAAAAAATGAAAGCTAGGAATTCAGAGAATGTGCAAGATGGATTGTTATAACAGTCTGTCAATATTCAATTGCGTATTTTGCTCAAAGTACACTGAAAGTGTACAGCAATTACAGCAATCATGATTCTGTGAACTTACAACAGCAACCAAAACTGGAATCACAGTGGAAAAGGTACAAAGGCAAGAAAGCACCGTGTATACAATTAAAACATGAAAAACAATATAATTTAATACACTATAAATGCAAAATCAAAATGGTAACAAAATAATATAATCATATATGTACTACAATATAGGTAAAGGTAAAGGTTCCCTTGCTCGAAAGCCAGTCGAATCCGACTCTAGGGTTGCGGTGCTCATCTCCGTTTCAAAGCCGAAGAGCCAGCGCTGTCCGAAGACGTTTCCGTGGTCATGTGGAACATGACTAAACACCAAGGCGCACGGAATGCTGTTACCTTCCCACTGAAGTGGTACCTATTTATCTACTTGCAATTTCTTGCTTTCGAACTGCTAGGTTGGCAGGAGCTGGAACTAGAGCTCACTCCATCATGCGACACCCGGGTCTTGAACTGCTGAACTACTGACCTTCCACAGCCTGCAGTTCATCGTCTTAACCACTTGAGCCACCACAGCTCCTGTACTACAATATAAGCCGTTTCAAAAATCATGTAGAATACATACAAATCTGATGCACTGGGCACCATCGTTCAACAAAGGCTAGTCCAAACACTCTATAGTCTATAAATCTTGCAGGTGTCTTGCTATGTACAAAGCAGCAAACCAGGATGTTTATTCAAGATACAGCAGTATAGATACTATAGAGTCTTTGGACTAGTCTTTGTTAAACGATTGTGCCCAATGCATCAGATTTGTATGTATTCTACATGATTTTTGAAATGGCTTCTATTGTAGTACATTTATGATCACATTACTTTGTTACCATTTTGATTTTGCATGTATAGTATATTAAATTATATTATTTTTCATATTTTCATTGTCTAGACGGTGCTTTTTTGCCTTTGATTCTATGAACTGAGGCAGATCATGAGAGGGAGGGCAGGGAGGGTTGTCTCTGTGCTTAGTTCTTGTGGCCCTTTCTTACATGCCCAGGGAAATGCTGATTGCCACTTTGGGGTCAGGAAACAATTTCCTCCAAGCCAAACCTGGAGGAATTTTTTTTTTGCCATATTCTGGGCATGGAGCAGGGGTCACTGGGGGTGGGGTGGGGGAGGTATTTGTGAATTTCCTGCATTGCGCAGGGGGTTGGACTAGATGACCCTGGAGGTCCCTTCAAACTCTATGATTCTATTCTATGAAAAAAACCCTGTGGAGCAGGTGGGATGGGGCAAATACTGCCATGGGAATGAGTTAGCAAAAATTGGGGGGAACCTGCCATGTGGAAGCCCCGATACCAATGTTCCCTCTAAGCTGTGGAGTCTTGTGAGCAAAAATTCTTCTTTATGAGTTACTGACATTAAAGTTGTGAGTCAGCGATTTGGCTGCTGCATAAATTAGTTTGCTCTGGAGCCATCTTTTCTGAGCTTAGACAAAAATGTGTGAGCCAGAGGCTAAAAAACTCTGAGCTAGCTCACACTAACTCAGCTTAGAGGGAACACTGCCCGATACCGCTGTGCCGTCTCAGCAACCCACATCAGCAACAGGGAAACCACCCGCAGCCATCCAGGTGTAGAACCCCCCTCTAAAGTCACAACCACGATTCCCCCATACCTGGTCGTAGTACTTGTTGATATAGTTGTAAAGTTCTTGCAGGGCAACCAGGCAGTTGAGGTCAGAGGAATATTTCTACCAACATGACGGAGGGGGAAAAAAATATTACAAAGATTTTTTAAAAAAACGTTCCTGGTGCAAAGTTCCTTTCTATCAAAGAATTCAAAAATATTACGTTATCTCACTCTGAACAGCCAGAATGCTGTAATGGTTCTGACTAAAAGAAATCCCTACAGATTTTAAAAGGATCTGGGAAACACAGGTCCGAATTCTCATTCTGCCAAGGAAGTTTGGTGTAGTGGTTAAGTGCGCGGACTCTAATATGGGAGAACCGGGTTTGATTCCCCACTCCTCCACTTGTACCTGCTGGATGACCTTGGGCAAGCCGTAGTTCTGATAAGGGCTGTTCTTGAAAAAGAGCAGTTCCTGTCAGAGCTCTCTCAGCTCCACCTGCCTCCCCGGGTGCCTGTCGTGGGGAGGGGAAGGGAAAGGAGATTGTGAGCCACTCTGAGACTCCTTAGGGTAGTGAAGGACAGGCTATAAATCCAAACTTTTCTTCCTTGCTGAGTGCCACAGAAAAATCATGCCACAGGGACTCTTGCTTCCAGGGAACCCTTTGCCACTTGCAGGACTTTATTTCAGGACACCTTCCTGCTGCTCGCCCCGACATACGGAAGGCCAAATTCTGGGTACAGCTTCAAGCTGTCCCAGAATCGTTCCACAACAGGGGTCCCCAACATGGTACCTGTGGGCACCATGGTGCCCGGACGCCCATCAAGCGTTGGTAGGTAGTGGGTGGGGCCAGGTCAGGCTCTTGCCCAACAGGGCTTTTGATTGGCCACTGGAGATCTGACTGGCTGTGTAAATTCAATAAATTAAAATAATGTTTTTTCTGTGGCAGCTGCCCCCACAATGTTGGTTGTATTCTTTCATATTCCTCATTCCAGAGCCACTTTGGTGTAGTGGTTAAGAGCAGGGACTCTAATCTGGGAGAACCAGGTTCGATTCCCCGCTCCTCCACATGCAGCCAGCTGGGTGACCTTGGGCCAGTCACAAGTTCTTTCAGAGCTGTTCTCTCAAGGGCAGTTCTCTTGGAGTTCTCTCAGCCCCACCTACCTCACAGGGCATCTGTTGTGGGGTGGGGAAGGGAAAGGAGATTGTAAGCCACTCTGAGACTCCTTTGGGTAGTGAAGAGTGGGGTACAAATCCAATCTCCTCCTCTCTCTCCTCTCCCCTCAGTGTATTTAAACTACCCCGTCTCCTACAATTGGGCCTCCTCTGTGTGTAGGGCTCCCGCCTCCTGCAGCACCCCTTTTGTGGTTCACTCCACCTCACGGGGCAGCCATTTTGTGGTTGCGGCTACCACCCCGTGTTAGAACTCCAAAGGTGCTCACATCATAAGAACATAAGAGATGCCAATGTTGGATCAGGCCAAAGGCCCATCCAGTCCAACACTCTGTATCCCACAGTGGCCAGAAATACCAGGTGCCATCAGGAGGTCCACCAGTGGGGCCAGGACACTAGAAGCCATCCCACTGTTGACCCCCCCCCCCAAGCACCAAGATGACAGAGCATCACTTGCCCCAGGTCACATCGGGTTGCCAGGTCACCTCGCTGCTCCAGCGGGGGGATTTGGGGAGCATTCCGGGGGTGGGCGGGGCCGTCCCCGATGTGATGATGCCACTCGGAAGTGATGTCATCACACCGGGGACATTGCATGGGGGACACTCTGGTTTTGGGGCAAACTCTATGACAGAATCCGGCTTAAAACCACAGAGTTTGCCTGAAAACCAGAGCATCCCTGACACGATGAGGTCACTTCCGGGCGACGTCATCGCACTTGGGGATGTTGCACGGTGACGTCCCCGTTTGGGGGCAGGCTATCCCCCGCCGGCCAGCTGGTCTGTGGCGGGGAGAAACCCCCGAAACTGGAGGGACTCCTTCTGGGGGCTGGGGATCCTATGCCTGCAGGCTCAGAGATGCTAGGGGCCCCTGCATTAGAAGCTGCTTCTCACTGGCATGGGACGGACTCTTCTCGCAAATGACTCGTGCCTTGCCCGGATTGGGACCCAAGGAACCCTTCTTTCAACACGGCTTGAAGATCCCCCCCCCCCCCCCGCAAACCTATTTCCCCCCCACCCCCTCCCCCCCCCCCGCTGAAACCTATGTTCCCTCACACCCCTGACATGCGTGGAATGGCTCAACAGGTACCTCTTCCCCTGAAAAGGTCAACTAGATCACTGTGCGCGCACAGAGTTTGTGCAGCTGTACGATGCCTCAGACGCCCACGGCGCTTTCTCTTCTGGTCAGGGCGGCAGCATTTAGCCGGCTTCCTCTGGAGATTAAAATCCGCAGGCAGGGCTATTTTTGGGCAGGAACGCACAGGAACGGAGTTCTGGCTGGCTCCCGAGTTGGCCACGCCCAGCAGGGACTCATTAGCATACTAGGCCACACCCAACAGCAGGAACGCATTAGGATTGGCTACATTAGGGGTGTGTGGCCTAACATGCAAAGGAGTCCCTGCTACAAAAAAGCCCTGGGTTTTGACAACAAAGAAGGTAAACAGTATTCTGGGTGTGGCTGGATAACCACACTTCTGGTAACATGTGGGTGCGGCCTAATGTGCTAATAAGCTGTGCTGTCAGGGGTGTGGCCAAATATGCTAAATGAGTTCCTGCTGTTGGGTGTGGCCTATTATGCTAATGAGTTCCTGCTGGGCTTTTTCTACAAAAAGAGCCCTGTCCGTAGGGATGACTTTTAACCCTAGAAGATGAGCGCCACGTGTGCACTTAGGGATCCCCCTCCTCCGCCCTCCCAAATACCATTTCGGTTCTGGAAAACGGAGGACCGCGAGGAGCCCCTTACCCCGGAGAGTTCTGTCAGGGCAGAGTTCATCTCTTGGTAGCTGGCGGGGACCGTCTGCCGGATGTCAGCGTAATACCTGAGTCGGGGCAGCAGGAGAGAGAAGAGGGAGGTCAGTGGGGAGGCTGAGGCAGGACGGCAGAAAAGGAGGCCCGGGAAAAGCACTCATTTAACACCACCACGTTTAACCACATCGCTAGGGATGCCAGCCTCCAGGTGGGGCCTGGGGATCCCCCGGAATTCCAGCTCCTCTCTAGGCTGCAGAGATCAGTTCCCCCTGGAGAAAAGGGAAGCTTTGGAGGGGGGATTCTCTGGCCCTGCGCCCCACTCAGGGGCCCTGTCCTCCCCAGGCTCCACCCCCAAATCTCCAGGAGTTCTCCAGCCTGGATCTGGCATCTCTACCCCCCCCCACCCCGCACTGGTAGCGGGGACCAGGCAACCTTACGGGCATCTCAGTTGAGGCTGGTAAATTAAGCCAGTTTGGTGCAGTGGGTTAAGTGCGCAGACTCTAATATGGGAGAACCAGCTTTGATTCCCCAGTCCTCCACTTACAGCTCCTGGGTGATGTTGGACAAGTTCTGTCAGAGCTGTTCTCTCAAGAGCAGTCCTGGAAAGAGCTCTCTCAGCCCCACCTACCTCACAGGGTGTCGGTTGTGGGGGAGGGGAAGGGAAAGAAGTTTGTAAGCTGCTCTGAGACTCCGAGTAAAGGGCAGAGTATAAATCCAATGTCCTCCTCTCTTCCTCCTCCTATGATGAATATGGAAGTGTGATCTTTTTATCCTAAAAGATTCGTAAGTGGTAAGGTTCTTTCTGTCCTTAGGAAGCTTATATTGTAAATGTTAAAGATTACTTTTTCCCTTGGTGTCTTTCACGGAGCATGTTCTTCCCTCGTCAGAAGCGCAAAAAACACCTTTGCAAATCTCCGAAGCTGGGGGGGGGAGGATTTGTTACAAAGACCTGAGCACGCCAGTGAGGTACGTGATCCTGTGCCCCTTGGCGTATTCTGATCCCTTCACCCACTCATGACCCTAGCTGCTTTCCAAATGCTCCCTCTAAGCTGTGGAGTCTCGTGAGCAAAAATTCTCCTTTGTGAGAATTCAAGTTGTGAGCGAGCGATTGGGCTCCTGCATCAATTAGTTTGCTCTGGAGCCCTCCTTCCTGAGCCAAGACCAAAATGTGTGAGCCGGAGGCTAAAAAAACTGTGAGCTAGCTCACACCGACTCATCGTAGAGGGAACGCTGCTGCTTTCCATTCAGGCAGCACTTCATTGGCCTGAAGGTTGTGGCCGTGTGTTGGAAAGCACTTGGGCGTTAGCTGGCAAAGATGCCAGAGGAAGTTCTCAATGTGCTCCCCCGGAGGAAAGACTTCATCATTCCTTTGCCACTCCCATGACGGGAGGAATTAAAAGAGAAAACGTGTAAATCTGCCTTCTTCAGGTTGCCAGAGTCCGCTTGCATGAATGTCACACACAGGCCTGGATATGGTTTGCGAAGCCTGCGGCTCCTGCAAGCCCAATTTTCTACCATCCCTTTTGCTCTCCATCTCCCATCTTCCTCTGTGTGTATGTGTGTGTGTACACTTACTTTTCCACCATCTGTCTGTAGTGTGGGATTTCCCGGGCATAGAGCAGTTTGTTGACTGGAGAATCCTAAAGAAAACGAAAATAAAAGCTCAGAACTTGTGATTAAAAGAGATGTTAGGAGTGGCGCCCAAATCCCAGGCATTGCGCCCGAGCTACCGGGTTGATTTCAGGTTGGCCCGGAATGGTTTCCCAATAGGGCTGCCATCCTCCAGGTGGAGCTTTGAGAATGACAGGAGTACTCCGTCCATGAATGTTAGCTGCACAATGTGTCTTCTGTAAGACCGGCAAAAAGCATCCATGCAACTATTAAGAAAGCTGTCCCCCTTTTTGGAAGACTTCATGCAAGGAGAAGCGGGTTTATAATTCTAGAAACTCCCGTTGGGGCTTGACTTTTAAAACACTGATGCAAAATTGTCTGGTAGTTAGCAATCTGTATGTACTGAATGTTATTGCTTGTTGAATGTAATGAATATTTATACCTGACTCGGATGAAATAATGATACACTATGCACTTTACTAAATGATGACCATAAATAGAACACATTAGTTTGCTAAAAGGTTTTTGTAGTGTCTATTTATTTGTTGCTAGATTCTCCTAACACTGCAGCTCGGGTTGCTTCAGCCTCCAAGTGGAAGCCGAAGATCTCCTGGAAATATGGTTGATCTCCAGCCGACAGAGATCAGTTCCTCCTGGAGGGAATGGCTGCTTTGGAGGGGGGACTCTGTGGCCTTGTGCCCCACTGAGGTCCAGGGATGCCAGCCTCCAGGTGGGGCCTGGGGATCCCCCGGAGTTCCAGCTCATCTCCAGACTGCAGAGATCAGTCTCCCCTGGAGGAAATGGCTGCTTTGGAGGGGGGACTCTGTGGCCTTGTGCCCCACTGAGGTCCAGGGATGCCAGCCTCCAGGTGGGGCCTGGGGATCCCCCGGAGTTCCAGCTCATCTCCAGACTGCAGAGATCAGTCTCCCCTGGAGGAAATGGCTGCTTTGGAGGGGGGACTCTGTGGCCTTGTGCCCCACTGAGGTCCAGGGATGCCAGCCTCCAGGTGGGGCCTGGGGATCCCCCGGAGTTCCAGCTCATCTCCAGACTGCAGAGATCAGTCTCCCCTGGAGGAAATGGCTGCTTTGGAGGGGGGTCCCCCATGGTATGCTTACCCCTCTTACAGTCCCCTCCCCTTCCCAAACCCCACCCTCTTTTGTATTACTTATTGCACGGAGTATAATATTTTTCATTTCATGGTTCTCTAATTTTGTAATCCGGTTTTATCCCAGTCTTTGCTACATGCACAATACCGAGCTTTACTGTATTTTCTAGTTCTGCAGTCCGCCTCAAGTCTTCATATGGATAAGCAAGGGCCCAGGAGCACCTTCAAGACTAACAAAATACGTGGCCGGGTAGGAGCTTTCGTGAGTCACTGGCTCACTTATCCAGGTATCTGAAGAAGTGAGCCAGTGACTCCCGAAAGCTCCTCCCCTGCCGCCAATTTTGTTAGTCTTTCAGGTGCTCCTGGACTCTTGCTCTTTTCTATTGCAACAGATACAAACAGGGCTTTTTTTTGTAGAAAAAGCCCAGCAGGAACTCATTAGCATAACTGGCCACACCCAACAGCTATAACTCATTGGCATAATTGGCACCAGCCAGCCATCCAGCCGGCCACCCAAACCCTGCCTTTCGACCCACTTGAAGAACCACAAGATACCTCTCCCCCAGATAATCACGAAACCATCCGACATCCATATTTATGTGAGTGATTCTGCAAAATATTAGCTGCCTTCATGTCCCTTGGGAAACAGACAGAATACATCGGATGGAGCCCGGACTCTCGGAAGTTTAGACCAGGGGTGGTCAAACTGTGGGTTGGGAGCCATGCGCATCTCTTTCTCACATACTGTGTGGCTCCCGGCAGGGCAGCTGGGGAAGCGGAGGGGAGGCATGCCTCCTGGATCGATTGGTCTTCCCCTCCCTGAGTAGGCTTGAGCTGGGGGGGGGGAGGCGGAGAGGTGGAAAGAAGGCACCTTTAACTTTAATAAATGCGTTCTCCAAGGCCCCCGCCGGCTTGGAAAAGGCATTTGTCTCTTTAAATCCCCTCTGCAGGCGTGGAGGCAGGGGCTTGAAGGATGCATTTAAAGTTAAAGGTGCTTTCTTACAACCTCTCCTTCCCTCCCCATCTATTTGCTTTCTTTGTTTCTCTCTCTCTCCCTCCCTTTCCTCCTCCCTCCCTCATCTATCTGCTTTCTTTCCACCTTTCTTTCTCTTTTCCCATCAGTCTCTTTTCCTTCCTTCCTTTCTCTTCATCTTCCTTCCTTCCCCCTTATCTATTTGCTCCGTCTCTCTCTCTCTCTGACAAATAAGTATCATTAGCAAACAAACAAACTTCATTGGACAAATAAGTATCATTATCAATGTCTGTTTTCACCCCTTTTGTTTTTATTTTTGGCCGTCTCGTTTAATGTTCGTAAAAAGCAAATCTGCACATTTCCCAATAGAAACGTGTGTGTGGTATCTGTTCAGGTCTCGCGGCTCTCAAACACCTGGCGTTTATTCTGTGTGGCTCTTGTGTTAAGCAAGTTTGGCCGCCCCTGGCGTAGACCCTGAAAATATTGCTGGTCTCTAAGGTGCTGCCAGACTCGAATCTAGGTCTTCTACTGCAGACCAATACGGCTGCCCTCTGAAAAAGAAGACATACACGTTGTAAGAGAGGAATCATAATGTAAAGTTTACTAGGCCTAAAAGGTAAAGGGTAAAGGTTCCCCTTGCTCGAAAGCCAGTTGAGTCCGACTCTAGGGTTGCGGTGCTCATCTCTGCTTCCAAGCTGAAGAGCCAGCGCTGTCCGAAGACGTTTCCTTGGTCATGTGGCCGGCATGACTAAACACCAAGGCGCACGGAACGCTGTTACCTTCCCACCGAAGTGGTACCTCTTTATCTACTTGCAATTTCTTGCTTTCGAACTGCTAGGTTGGCAGGAGCTGGAACTAGAGATGGGAGCTCACTCCGTCATGCGGCACACTCGGGTCTCGAACTGCTGAACTACCGACCTTCCACAGCCTGCAGTTCAGCGTCTTAACCACTTGAGCCACCGCAGCTCCATTACTAGGCCTATTGTGCGCTAAATTTAAGCCAGGCTTTAGGCCCCACAGTTCGCTTTGAATGCAGGACCCTGCCAGGGCTCCCTCTAAGCCGTGGAGTCTTGTGAGCCAAAACTGTACTTCGCGAGCTACCGGCGTTAAACGTTGTGAGCGAGCGATTTGGCCACTGCAGGAAATCAGTTTGCTCCGGAGCCACATCCTTCCTGAGCTGAGGCAAAAATGGGTGAGCCGGAGGCTAAAAAGCTGTGAGCGAGCTCACACTCACTCAGCTCAGAGGGAACACTGGAGCCTGCACAGGTGACGTAATTCGGCCAGCCACGACTCCCAGCTCTGTTTGAGCTCCCTCAGGCCTTCGTTGAGGCAGCGTCTGGTCAGAACTGCTGTCTAGACATCCAGCAGGGCTTTTAATCCACTCCTGCCCTCTCTCTCCACACCTTGTTCGGCGGGCCATAAATGTTCGCAGCAACCCGGAAACTGATGGTGTGGCGTGCCCAAGGCAGAGCTATTCCGTTGTGAGAACAAAACAAAACAAAAAAAAGAGGAGAAAGCACCGGCTTTTCCGAGGCCTCGTTTCACCTGTACCTTCAGACAGAAAGCGAGGGGTGCTCAGGACCAAATCCTCCTCCCTACAAAACAGTCTCTCCACAGAGATAGTTGCCAACCTCCAGGTAGCACCTGGAGAC